AAGGTGGCCTCAGAGCAGCAGAGCCTGCGAGGTGCTTTCATGCAGCTGCAGGAGTTCCTGCAGGAGCAGGAGGATGTCCTGCTAGCCCAGCTTCACGAGGTGCATGAGGAGCTCAACCAGGAGCGCTGCAGATACATCTCCAGCATTTCAGAGAGGGAAACGCTGCTGGACACGCTGATTGCGGAGATAGAGAGCAAGTGTGACCAGCCGGTGGCTGAGTTCCTTACGGTGAGGCTGCATTACCCACCTGGGCGCTGCACCCATCCCTGGTGAGGCTGGGGGCACACTGCATCCCAGTGCCCATGCAGCCTGGCAGTGAAGAGCAGCGCAGTGCTGGCTGGGTTGTGACACCACAGTGTGTGTGGTATGAGGTTGGGCCTGCAGCATGAGCTGAGGATTTGGGCAAGTGACTCGCTGAAGAGTGCCCAGGAGTTTGGTGTGACCCCCCCCCAGTCCCATCTTCATGCAGCAGGGGAGCTGCTGTAACTCACTGCTGCAGGGACCGTGGTCCTTCCTGGCAGTGCCAGAGCTGACCTAGTGTTTCCTCTCTTCCAGAATGTTGGCAAAATCCTGGACAGGTATGAAATGGGCTCTGCATCGCTCTCTTCCCACGTGGCTCTTTGGGGCAGAGGTTTGGGAACGCTGCAGCCAGCTGAGCAGCAACAGCCAGGAGGGAGGTAGCTTTGGCCTGCTGGGCATTTGGGATTTAACAGGATGTTATGTGGAACCAGAGACCATGGCACCCCTGTTGAAGACAGGGTTCACATGCCGGTAGCTGGGGCACAGCTCCCTGGAGTTCAGGGCTGTAGGGGATTTTCCCCTGTTTCTCTCCTGGCCCATGTGCTGGCTGACTGCTGGGGTCAGAGCTCCTCTCCATGTTTTTTCCCCCTCAGGTGTGAGGCAGTGAAGACCCCGATCCCTGAGCCGGTTTCCCCGGGGCTGGAGAGGACCCTTGAGAGACTCTTTCAGAGTACCCAGATGCTCGTAGCTGTGATGGCCGAATTCAAAGGTAAAGCAAAGCAGCAGCGAGCAATGCCTTGCTGTGTAGCTGGTGTCCAGGCCCCAAGCGGGTGTGCTGCTGTCTCTGCTGTGCTTCCCTGGGCTCAGCTGCAGACATTTATCCTCACCATCATGGTTTGGGAGCAGAACACGTCTGCTCCAGACGGGACCCTCCTAGATGGGCTTTGCTGGAGCTTGGGGCTGTGGGAGCTGGGGAGCAAGCTCCACATCTCTGGCTTGCTGTCCTGATGGGGAACAGAACTGCTGCAAGAGTCTCATGCATCTTCCTTTCCCTCCTCTAGTGAGCCTGCTGAGTAAGATCGACAGAGAAAGGGGTGAGTTTCTGGAGCTCATGGGCATAAATGAGGGAGAAAAGCTTTCCAGAATGAGTTTCCTTGTGTCCTTGGGTGCAGACCTGGACTCACACCACAACTTTTAAACTCCAGGGTCTGTCTAAAACCGGGTCCCTTCATTTTTAGTATAAAAATCCAGGTCTGTCCTTACACCAGGCAACACCCAGACACCAACCAAGAGCCAGGATAGTATGAGTCCCTCAGCTTCCCCGTTGCTGGAGACTTTGTTGTTACTCTGTTATGCATAAGACTGTGAATAGTTAAGCAGAGGAGCCCTGTGCATTTTGAGCTGGCTTTTAGGCACAGATTTGAAATGTTTTTGCAGGTGCTTTGGGTCCATGTGGTCCTGGCAGCATTGCAGAGCTTGGTCTCTGCTCTCTCAGGTTTTGGGATGAGAGACCTGACACACAGCGCAGTGCAGCCTGCGTCAAAATCTGGGCTGCAGAGGAGAGGGTTTGGCAGAAGTCCTGGGGTGGCATTGTGTGATGACACCTCTGTGGCCTTGTGGGATGGCCGCGGGATGGCAGCAGAACATTCCACATGAGCGGGCATTTCCAGCTCTGCAGTGAGACTGCCTGGCTACTCGGTGGAGCAGGGTTAGAAGCTGTTGAGTCACTGGACCAGGGACTGCCAGGGCACCACTGTTGCCTTGCAGGCAATGCTTCCTTACACCCGTGGAGGTGTATCACTCCCCCACACTCAGCCTTACTGTAGCCCCACAAACTCAGGGCCAGCAGTATCCTGGAAGCAGGTTTATCAAGGCCCATCATGTCTGTCCCCTGCATGTGGGGACACTGCCTGGCCCAGTCCCACTCCAGAAAGCATTGCTTCTCCGATGGGTCCCAGTGGGGAGGGCATCGAGGGTCCTGTGTGACATGCCACCAAAGGGGGCTGCAGGTGCTGTATGTATGTACTCAAGGGGCATGTCCCAGCGCCAGGGCAGAGGAGGGAGAGGTGCTGGTTCACTCCTCAGCAGGCAATGGACTGATGGTCCTCTCTGTTGTGCATTAGTGAAGGTATGGCTGGACCCAGAGACAGCGAGCCCGTACCTGAACCTCTCAGAGGACTGCAAGACCGTGTGGCTGGCAAGTGGAGAGCAAGAACTCCATGACAACCCTAAGAGATTCACGGGCAGCCCCAGCGTCCTGGGCTCCAAGGGCTTCATGGCCGGGAGGCATTACTGGGAGCTAGAGGTAGGGCACGGGGACAGCTGGGCCGTTGGTGTGGCCCTGGAATCCGTTCAGAGGAAGGATGTGCTCAGCAGGGCCCTGGGGAAGATCTGGGCCCTGCGGCTGGACTGGAATCGCCAGTACACAGCACTCCACATGCCCCCCACCCCACTGGAACTGAACCAAGAGCTTCGGAAAATCAGGATCCACCTGGACTATGAAGGGGGCCAAGTGACCTTTTATAATGCGGAGAACATGATGCAGATCTTGCAGTTTAAGGCCACCTTCACTGAGAAGGTCTTCCCATACTTTTGGCTCTCGTCACAGGAAACCTACATCCAGCTGTGTGCCTGATGGGGTCAGATGCCTCCTGGTCCCTTGCCTGTGCCCTTGCTTAGCTGAGCAGGCAAAAGGTATGGAAATGATGCACCATCGTTTTGCAAACTCCCTGCAGTTGGATCTCCTCTGTGTGGTGTTGCACCTCCCCCCAAGTACTTTGGAACATTAAAGCAGTGTTGTGCTGCCTGGCTATGTCTGCAGGCTGGTATCCTGGTCAGATCTCACAGCGGCAGTGGTCCACCTATCCCTGTGATCACTGAGGACACACACAGATAAGCAGGAGGGAGGCAGGGGAGATGTTCTGATTGCCTGTGGTGGTCTTTGGCAGGGCTGCATGGCTTGTTTGGTTCAGTATGGTGTGCTGTGTTGTAGGCAGCCTGGGGGTGCAATCACTTTGCAGGCAGGAACAGGTTGGAGCCATAGAGGTGCTAATGGTGGTGGTAACTGCTGATGAAAAACTGTAAAAATGTGCTTGAAAGGAAAATGTTAAGGGAGGGGACAGGGCTGAGTGGAGTGCTGGAGAGAGGGCACAGCCCAAGCCTCTCCATGCTAGAACAACAGGGCAGTGGGGATGTGATGGGGATCTCTGGGATCCTGGGTGGTCAGAGGGGAAGCATATACCAGAAACCAGGAGCATTGTGTGGATGTGGTGGATGGCAGGGCCTGGGCAGAGGGACATGGGTTGTGTCCTGGAGGTGTGGGATCCCCTGACAGTAAGTTGTTTTTCTCCTTCCTAGTAACACGCTGGTGCAGTGCTGTGGTTTGGCTTCAGTCTGAGAACAATGCTGGTAACACACCGATGTTTTTAGTTGTTGCTCAGTAGCATTCAGCCTGACCAAGGACTTTTCAGTCTCTCATGCTTTGCCAGTGAGGAGGGGCACAAGAAACAGGGAGGGAGCAGAGACAGGACACCTGACCCAAACTAACCAAAGGGGTATTCCATACCACAGCGCATCATGGCCAGTGTATAAACTGGGGGCAGTTACCCGGAAGGGACCGGTCACTGCTCGAGTCAAGCTGGGTATCGGTCCGTGGGTGGTGAGCCACTGAGTTGTGCATCACTGCCATTTATTGTTTTTATTTTCCCTTTCCCCTTTCAGTTTTACATTCTCTTCCCTTGTTATTTCCATTATTATTATTACATTATTAATGTTATACTTCAGCTATTGGACTGTTCTTACTCAACCCTGGTTAGGGGTTCATCATCTAGTTCCAACCCTGTGTTTCTACATTTGTGGGACTGTGTTTTTGGAGCTGGCACTGCTCCCCCTGCACCTGTAGTGTCCACAACCTGAGGCCTGAGGGGTGACCCATGCAAAGACTCCCCCACAGCACAACCATTGCTGCCTCCATCCTGCTCAGTGACGGTGGGCAGGGGACAGAGAAGGGATTAGGCAACACAGGCAATAAGCCCTCTGAAAAGTTGGTCTTGTTTCTGTTTTTAAGGCAAATAGCAGTGCCTGGGTAAATGCCAGAGTCTCTTAAAGGTAGTGGATGAGAGCAACGTTTGTCGCGGTCAGAGTGTGACCGTTTTCCCTCATCGTGCCCGGCTTTACCCGCTTCCCCTCAGGGCCGGGGCGGTTGGAGGCACGGTTAAACGGAGAAGGTCAGAGAACCAGCAGCAAAAAACGGCTGTGCGTGAGGCTGGGACTACATTTCCCAGCATGCACCGCCGAGGAGGGGACGGCGTTGCATGCTGGGAAATGTAGTCTCCACTTTGGCAGTTGCGCTGCCCAGCGACACCCGCTTGTCTGGCTTCCCTATTGGTTCGGAGTGACATCAATCAACAGCTGGAGGCGGGGAGTGGGCCACCCGTCGCTGTTCTTATTGGCCAGAACGAGAACGGTAGGCGGGAGGATATGAGCGAAGTTATCCGCCCACTTTAAACGTCGCTTAGGGAGCGGTTTTGATTGGTGGAGGGGAGGTTTGGCGCGAGCTTCGGAGCGGGCGACGGGTAGCGGCTGCAGTCAAAGCGGTACTGGTCGCGCTGACAGTAGGACGGTTCGGCTTTGCTCTGCGCGGTTCCTGCGGTTCCTTCGGTTCCATGGATCCCACACTGCGCGGTTCCTACCGCCGCCGCCTCCTGCTCTTCTCCCCGGTCTCCTCCGCTTCACCCGCCGTGGTCAAGGTTCTTTTTCCTGACGATTTCTCGCCGGTCTCCAACCTCCGCCTCACCATGGAGCAGCTGGGACGCGGGTCAGTCAAAGCGCGGGCCCTTTCTGCTGTCCCTGGGATCCTCCTCGTTTATTTGGTTGCTTGTTTTTTTTTTTTTTTTTTGTGTTTTATTTTTTTGTGTGTGTGTTTTGTTTTTTTTTTCTTTCCCTGGCTATGAGGCTCTACCACGCTCCCCCCTAACAAAATCCCCAAACGGGCCCTCGAGGGCCTCTTCCTCCCCCGTCTTCCCTCCCTGACCCGAAGCGAAGCCTAAGGGAGCTCCCCATTTACCCCCCAGACCGCCATACTAGGCCTTAAGAGTCCCTTCTCCTCTATCCCAAGCCAAAAGCAAGGCCTAGGAGAGCTCTTCCTCCTCCTCCCATTTCAGAGCAAGGACTTGCGCCGTTGTTCTTCGTCCGTTCCACACGCGCCCCCCCGCCCCGCCCCCCCAACTGCCTCCACCGCACCGAGACCTTGTGGACCTTCTACTCACCCCCAAATTTAAGGCCTCGAGAAACATTTCTCTCCCCTTTTCCACCCCAAGCAAGGCGTCAGGGACCTCGCCTACCCTCACCCCCTAAAAAAGTGAGGCCTCGTGCATCTCTTCTTCCTCCCTAATGGAGGCCTTGAGGATCTCTTCTCTTAATCTCCTTCTCCCTTCAGACGAGGACCTCATCCCTTATTCTCTCATTCCAGACACCCTCCATCCTTAACACTGAAATCTGGAGCACCTTTTCCCCTCTTCCCCCTCCAAAAGAGGCCTCGAGGAGCTGTTTTCTCCCTGTCTTTACACCCACCCCCCCCTACACCCCCAATTAGGCCTCGAGGAGTTCTTCCTATGTACCCCCATGCTATCCTTGCAAACCCAAGCTTTCCATTACTCCCTTAACCCCCACTTTTTGTGATGCCTTCACCCCTGCTGAGTTCCACTCCCGCTCCTGCCTCTCCTTCCACCAGATAGCCCCCTCTCTCCTTAAGCAGCACGGAGACTGCCACCCCTCTAGTCATTCCCGCGGGAGCTCCTGCCCACATGTGGCTGTGGTTCCGATGCTGTGGGCCATCTTCTCACTGAGTGTCCCTCCACGTGCCACCATCTTCCCCTGGTTCTGCTCTGGGTGTCTGCCTCGCTTCTGAGCCCCATGTTGGGTGTTTTCCCTTATCCCACATATTATTGCTGGTACCTTTGTGTCTGTCCTTCCTGCCTTCTGTGCCACATTAGCTGCAGTATCTCAGCTCTGTTCTCACTCCCCTTTGCCTGACTCCTGTGCACCCACTCCTCTCTTTGCCATTTCACGTATGGGAAGTGCTGCACTCTCTGAGCTCTTTAGCTCCTCTCCACAGAGCTCCAGCCATGCAGTTGCTCAATCCCTGTTACTAGTTGTAACTCGTTTAATCTCATTATTCCTGCAGTAACCTCTGCAGTTTGCCTCTTGTATAGTTTCTGTTTTGCCCTGGCCTACTCTGGTCTTGTTTGTTCTCCTAGCATTTGTCCTTTATTTTCTGATTTTCTATCATTCTTGTTTCTGTAATCACCTGCTTTCTTTATGATCCTTCCCTCCTTCAGATTCCTGAAATTCCTGCAAACAATTTGCACAAGTCCCCTCCATTTCATTCTTGTGTCCTCTCAGTTTGTAGCCCTGGCTTATGCCCTGGTGCATTTTTTCATTAACTCTTGATCGAGGAGCAACACTCAAGTAGCTTTTCCCTTCTTTAAGGTAATCTTGAATAAGGCTACATGTGATACATACATCTCTGTATTGAAGCTGCTGTGACATATGAAATGAGTGTGTGTTTGATGTGGCCACTGATAATGGTTTTGAGGTATGATTACCTGTGCCGTATGTTTACAGGCAGGCATTTCTATATGGTATCTATTGCTGCAATAAGCATTTAAAACAAATACCTATTTTCTTTTATAGCCAACATGAAAAAGCTGAGGAAGATCTGGGAAACAAGAATACTAATAGTTTACAAAGAACTGTGTCATCGGAATCGACAGACTCAGGTATGGCTTTCTCAATTAATAAATAACAAGTAAGAAAGGAGAAGTGTCCTATCTTTACACAGCTGCCTGCAATCCCTACAACCACTTCTTAAAAGGAGGGAGGCAGGCAGGCCATTACTCAGCAAGCTTCTGCAGCTCATGCAGTTTGGGTTGTGGATGTGTTTTTGTGTTTTTTTTTGCTTAAGTTCTCTTGGAGTATGTTAGTAGTAGAGCTGTATGGAGGAAAAACTGGTTCACTCACTGGGGGACTCTGGCAGAAGGGCTTTTCCCTTTTTTCTTAGGATGGCTGTTGAGACATGATTGCTGACTTGTCACACTTCGTACTGCAGCGTGATGTTTATCACTACAACTTTCTGATTGCTTTGATGTTCTACTCTGTACATGGTAGTAGGTAAACACCTTATCATGAGTGTATCAGCCCTCCTTGCAGCAGAGACAGCTGAAGATGAAGCCTGCTGAAGATAGCCCAAGATAGGCTTCACTGGGGAATTGGAATCCCACCATTCTTCAGTCTGTGGTGTTTTGAGATATTGGCTTGGGGGTGTTTAGAGTTGCATGTTGGGGCTGTGGTCTAAAAAATGGAGAGATAGTGTTTTACTCTTCATTGTTAGGATCCATCACAGATCTGTTTTCATCTGTGAATGGGACTGACTTGAGTTTCTGGAGGGTGATAGCTTTGAAATACAGTCATCACTGTGTGTTTTCTCTCTTGAAACCCAAACTGTGCTAACCTGCTCTGCACGCTTGAATCAAGGCCATTGAGCAGGGTTTGTCTTGTGGTTTGGGGTTTTTTGGTGGCAGTTAGCATGAGCTGATTGTTTGTGTGAAACCTGAAATACTGATACTTGCCTAGAAGTGTGTGTTTATCCTTTTTTTCAGATGAGATGCTTTATCAGTGGAAATGAAATAAGCCATTACCCCATAACTGTTAGAGTCAGGGAAGCTTCTGATAGTTCACTGGTCCAGCCCAGTGATGGGAATCAGTGTCTCCAACTGAATTTATATACCAGTCTGACTGTGCATGGTATTTTCTGCCTTCAAAGGAGCTTTATGAACTGCTAAAACACAAGTATAGCTGACAAACCACAGAGCAGGATAAAATAACCCAGCTTGCTAAATCTTCACTTTCTTCTTGGCGTTTTTGTTTCTGTCTCCAAAGCAGGTCTTAAGTGCTTACAAAACACTTGTGATTAAAGTTTCTGCTGGTTTGAGACCACTTCCTGTCAATGTTAGTCAAGTTAATTCTTTGTAGTTGTTTGTTTAGAACACAGTCACTGAAATAGCAACAAGTCTTGTCATGAAGGTGTAGAGAGCAGCCAGTACACTGCTGGCCTATCACTGGGTCTTGTGAATATGATACAAAAACTCCTTGGGGAATCTGTGTTTAAGTAAGCTTCACACTTGGCTGTACTTAGATGCTATGTAGCTGGAATGTTTAGCTTGGTTTGTGCTTACAAAGTGCTTGCTATTGTTTCCAGTACACTAGCAGGCATTAAGAAGGGTATTTTGACTACTTGTTTTGGAATGAGCCAAAAATTTATTCCTATGAAGAGGTGTAACTGAAAACATGGCTTAAAAAATCCTAAAGGACTAAGTTGTTAAATATGTGTGTGAGGGAGAATAAGCCAAGAGTGTTCCATGACGCTCTGGTCTATATGATCTTCTAGGCAGGGCTTAGGAATGCTTTTTTTTAATTACTCCTATTTTACCTGAGGCACTAACCCTTGATTATGGCAAAAGCCAGTGCGATGGAGTATCTGTAACTGTTATTTACTTCTCCACTGAGGTCAGGCTGCAGATGGGACTTCTTGCATTACTTTCCAGTCTAAGCTCATGGTCTCTCTGAGGAAATCTGTAACAGTGTGCAACACTTCGTATTTCCTAGCTAATACTCAATAGAAAACATTCTATTATCTTTCCTCTTGCAGGCTGTGCTTTGGATTCACCTGTTCCTGCATCCTCAAATGATATCATGGAGGAAACGTATGTAACCATATGCTGTCTGATTTGTGGCATTTCACATTGCACCGTTAGCAAACGTAGGCTAATAAGAGGCTTGATGCAGCTTTTCTTTTGCTGGCACATGTGCAATGGGCTCTTGTCTCTGAAAAACTTGTGCAGTGCTCTGCAGCTTGAGCTCCTATGGTTTCTGTCTTGTCTGCATCCCAGAGTACATAGCAAGTCTTGGGTCTGGGTTAATTTATTGTACCAACCAGATTGTTTGAGCATGACATGGGCACCTTACCAGGAGGCTGAGGCTGCACCAAACTGCATGTAAGCTGCAGTTTTCACTCAACACTTAAACTATAATTTATGTTTCCATATGTTCCTACTGATACCAGGCAGTTGCTCTGAGCTTTGCATTTGCCGCTGTTGCCAGGGATGGGGCAGATGCTTGTGGTCACTCATGTACTGATCTTTTCTTCCTTCAACCTAGCATCTTGTCTAAATGCTGCTGAAAGGAAAGGAGGGGGAGAAAGGAGTCGAACTTATGTACTAAGAACTAGGATGGGATCAGCTGGCTAGAAATAGCTTTTAAGAAAGTGTCATCAAGCAGTATCTTGGCTTCTGCTTAGCATAACACTTCTTGAGTGAAAATGAAAGTTGATTTTTAATGTACTGTGCTTTGGTGCTAACTGTGGGGCATCTTGCTTGCTTTAGGTTTGAGAAAGCAATTCTTGAATCCAGCAAACTGAAGTAAGTATATTTCTACTTCCAACTCCTTTGTCAGTGACTGTGGTAGCTTGTGGAGTTTTATGGGGGGCGGTAGGAGGAGAAGTGAGTTCTACTCGTGTTAGAGTCTTTTAAAACATGTTGAAATAAATCTTTTTGATTCTTTTTTGTTGTAGCGTTCGGATGCCATTCAGAAGAATCCATTCAATGCCAGTAAGTGAGATTGGTATTGGTATTCTATAAATATTAAAGGATTTAGTATATTAAGTGCTTTTAGTTGGATACATTTTATAACTTGTTAATTTTCTGGCTGCAAGAACAGCTAGTGTGGCAGTTAGTGAAAACTGTCAGAATTACAGCTTGTAAACTCAATATCTCATTTAAGTTAGCATGAAATATCAGTGATGTGGCTCTGTCACTTCTGCAGCTGACGCATTTTGGTACCTGAACCAAGATATCAGCATAGAGTCCTGCACATAGTTTGCAGTTGCAGTTGGAGTCTTTACAGTCTTTATTAACCACTCTTTTGTTTTAAATGCAGTTGTGCAAAGACTTATATTGTACAATACTGAACTGGCACTTCTGTATGAATATTGTAGCAAAACCTCCTGGGATCCAGTCCTGCTCTGAAGAGAAACCATTCTGATTCCCTGGATGACAATGCTTTTCAACTGTTGAAACAAGATGACTACAAGGAGAATGTAAGCATTGCTTTCCATTGCTGTGATGATAGGCATAAGAGGTGGTACCGAGAGAGCTGGATTAGCACACCCCTTTAACAGTGGACGTGGTGGAAAAGGCTTCTTTTCCTCTCTCCAGGCAGCAGTTCAGACATAACAAAGTTTTGCACAGCTTATCTCAGGGGAGCTTGCAGTGAAGTGCAACAGCACTGATCATAGTGACTGCAAGCTGATTATATGTTCACAAAAAATCTGGAAGACTTTGGTTGCCCAGCTCTACATTTGTGCTGCTGAGCCTGACTCATTTTAGACTGTGGCAAGGGAAAATGTATTCATGCCACTCACTTTAGATAGCTATGAGGGATGCCTTTAGAAAGCTGTTTTGATAGATCACCCCATCTCTTTCCACTGCTGGCATGGGAAGCCTTGATTCCTCGCAACACCAGTGTCCTTTTGGCTACTTGGTCTGGAAGGCTTTGCTGCTGGGAATCCCATTGGTAGGACTCTGACAGGTCTCGACAGAAGAGCGGATGTCAGCAGAATTTAAAAATGATTCCTTTTGCAGAGAAGTTGGCTGACAAAAGAAATAGAAAAGCCTTAATCCTATGGGTGATATCAAAAGGATAAAAGCTTAATTATGTTAAATGAATTGCTATTCTAACACCTTTAATCTGAAAACATTTGCCTTCAGACTACTCCTGTTGGCAGTAGGGAACTTAAAAGCACAACCTCAGGTAGCTTTAAAAAAAACCCTAAAAAGATAAAATGACCCTAGAGCTTTACAGTTTTTTATTTTGGTAAAATGATCACTTTGCTCCTTTTTAACTCAGGAACCATTTGAGTTTAAGAAGCCAACCAAACCAGCTTCTCGTTCTTCTGTGCATGTTCATTACCCTGCTGGAAATGGTGTTCCTGGACCAAGGCAGAATTCACCTCCAGCTCAGAGAGTAAGTACTATAGTGTTCTTTACAACTAATTCTCATCTAATCTTCTGCATTCCTGGAGGTACGCAGAAAGGGAAGAAAAATTGGGAAGAAGAAAAATTGCATCATGTTCTAAGGCAGCACTGTTAGTCACCTCTAATGTGTCAAATGGAAAAAATTATCTTGCAGATAAGAGAACTTCTCACTTTTGGCTTGTAAAATGACGAGGAGTTTGAAACATGGGGTTTTCTGTAGTCTGGAAGATTAGTCAGTACAAAGCTGGGTTTATGCTGCAGTAAGTTAAGGGAGTGGATGTTGATGTGGAATAGAGGACTTTAGTTTATAATTGTTTTCACTATCAATAAAATAAATAATTAAATTGAGGCAGATGCATTTAGAATAACTATGCAGATGTGACTAGATCTTATGTCCAGATATGACATCCAGGAAGCAACTGAAAAGCCATGATGGGTCCTTGCATAGAAACAATGCTGGGGGACTAAGCCTTCCCTCTGCTCCTTGAATCAGTTCCTTCGTCCTGCTTAGTACTCTTGATCTTGTGTTTATCAGCTGCAGAGTTTATATTGCCTCCTGTTCCCACTGACACCAACAGTTTCTCTCCATTGCACCTTCCCTGGATGGTGTCTTTCTCAGACGAGGGTTATTGCTTAATGAGTCTAATGAAGCACTTTGCTATTGTAGGGATCAAATAGAAGTACTGGAACTCAGTTTGGGGTTTGCTCAAGTCAGTGTACTCAAGGTGGGGGAAACATCTTTTCTGTAATGTAGTAAGAGGCAAGGCACTGTTATAGGTTATATAAGGTTATACCTCTCTGCAGTAAATGGGAGGAGTGTTGTTAAAACTATCTATCTTGTCTCAGGTTCCCATGGGTGAAACACCCAAGGGTAGAAAGAAACACTACAGCTCAGTTTTCCTGCGGAAGTCTTCTCTGACTTCCTCTGAAAGTGAAGATGATGATGGATTCCTGGAGTTGCTAGACGACCAAGATTTGAAGGTATGTACAAAGGAAATATGGGCATTTTGAAACTTTCTCTGTCTAACGTTAGTAGTCAGCTACAACGTGTTTGTGGTGCACATATGTTCTAGCAGAAGTCAGTGTGGAAAGTCAGACTGCAAAAAGCTAGGTACTAGGGAATCGTAGCAGGCGAGTTATAACCTTTTTCAATTCAGTTTCAAGTGTCTCTGTCTTATACATGCTCTTTCCTAGTGCAGACAGTGAGATTTACTTGGGGTGTGAACAGCAGCTAGTTTAAGAATTACTCCTGATGGGAGTTGCACTACTAGAGGGAATTAGTGGAACAGTCAGCATTTTTCTTTGGTAAAAGAGCTAGAGGTAAGATTTGCTTCTGAGCTACTTAAGCAGAGGACTTTCTAATTGAATTTGAAATGCTTAAAGCTTTGGATGAACATAATTGTTAATCTGTCAATGAATTCATGTAACTTACCTTCTCCAACACATCTCTACTTGGTTCCGTTATTTCATTGAGTATTGGACTAGTGATTGAGTTAAATTCCTAAAACATCACTAACATGAATTCAACTGGAATGCTGGCCCAAGCTGTGCATAAACTGTATTTAGTCTCTGCCCACGGTGGAATAGATGAGCATGAACTTCCTTTTTTTTTCCTCAGAACGATGAGGAGATGTCACCTGATGTGGCAAGCCTCTGGACTGCACCACTAGTCATAAGGAGAGCAGACAATCGGGTGAGTGTTCTGTGGGAGCATAACAGAACAGAGATGGGGACTTTGTTCTTGCAGCTGTTTTCACTGCTGGGAAAAGTGATCACATTGGCTCTGGTCCTGTGTCCCTAAAAACAAAGTAAGATGTGACATAACCCCCCTTCAGTGTTCTGTTATCTCTAAAGACTATTTGGCTGAAAGACTGTCAGTGTGGAACAATGCCCATTGTGTGCATATATATGCATTAACTTTCTTTTTCCAAAGCCACTTCATAAATGCAAGATGATCTTGACTTCCCTTATCAGATACTTATTGATTTACCTTGAATGCATCCTGCAAATCCCTTAGCCAGATATTCTGATAAGAGACTGTGAAGGGAGGCTAGATTCCTGCAGAAAGTTCCTTAATTTGCTGATAAACTGTCTGTTAATTGGTATAAACACCTCTGCCACCAATTGATATTGCTTCTGGTGCTCCAAGCTCACCCAGCCTGCAGGGCAAGAAATGAGTGTTACTGGAAATGTAGGTCCTGAATTTAGATGACCCTGTTAATATCCCATTGTTGCTGTGCTGTGGCAGTGTCTTCAATAAGGCAAAATTTGTAATGGTCTGAAAGTCTGAGGCTTGCTTGGTTTCTAACCTTAATTTTTGCTAAACAACTATTCTCATATCTCGTAGGCCAAACGATGCCGGCTGTTTGGCTCTTCATCTCTGACTAGTGGTGTAGGAAGAACCACTCAGAAAAGAATGGAGAGATCCCAGGAAGAGGATACTCCAGGGAAAAATAAGAGGAGGAAAAGCCTGACTGAAACAACTTCTGAGGACTCAACAGTTAGTGGCTTGGCATCCAGTTTTGTAACAGAATTGATTAGGAGAAGATCTAGCATTAGTGTCTAGCTGGTGAACGTTAATGAGAGAGCTTTTTCAAGTGAATTGCTGACCTAGCAAAACTGCATTCTCTCTTCATAGTGAGAAGATTTTTGGGAGCTGGTGCAGCAGTTGCATGCTCCTGAGTCTGAGTTTCACCTTAATCCAAAGGGGATGCTAGGGAGTTGTAGTTCAGGGCTTCAGAGTAAACTCTGAGTTTTATGTTATGTTGTGGGAAAGGGATCTCTCTGCTGTCAGTGCTCAGCATTGATCTCTAACCCATTTTCCTCTAGAATCTGGAAACGGTGAAGACACAATGCTCCATAGCAGAGATCGAAAACATTTTGGATGGTGACCAGACAGACCTTATTGGTGACTTCTCAAAGGTAAGGATTTAATGGTCAAGTGTTAATTCAAGTATTTTAATGGCCTCTCTTACTGGAGATGTCTCAAAGCAGCCCAAATAAAGCAAGTCCCTTCAACAGTGCGTATTCCAGTTATCAGGAAAGTATGTTGGCTAGAAGGGCTCTTGTCTGCAATGTATCTGTGTTACAAACTACACAGCTGCTGGACACTGTGCTATGGCCTGCCTTTGGAATTTTCTGATTGGAATGCTGTCTGTCTTACAGAGTTATTTATTCCGCACTGTCGATGGGAAACATCAAGACTTGAAATATATCGACTCGGAAATGGTAAGTGCTCCAGGGACAGTAAGAAAAAAATCTTTACTGGGGGGAGCAAGACAAGAACCTCTTGAAACACCTGAACTCTGGGGAGTTTTGTGGAGTTCTATTTTTGGTTTTGTTTTTTTTTTTCCCAGATTGTGTCTGTGCTGACTGGGAAGTTCGCAGACTTCATCAAGGAATGTGTGATAATTGATTGCAGATACCCATATGAGTATGAAGGAGGACACATCAAGGTATGTTGGCCCTGTAGGAGCAATGGAGAGTTGTCTGAAGTTGCAAACTGGGGTCACTTGGCACCATGGGGACTGCTTAAGTGGGATGGGCTCATTACAGTCTTCCACTCATTCCATGTGCTTGTGTATCACAGGGTGCTATAAACCTACATATGGAAGAGGATGTGGAAAACTATTTGCTTAAGAAGCCAATCAAGCCATCAGATAACAAACGAGTGATAATAGTATTTCACTGCGAGTTTTCTTCGGAGCGCGGTCCTCGAATGTGAGTTATCTCACACTCCTCTATATGGAAACTTTCTGCTGTGCTAGCTGGGAGCAAAGCTTTTGGGTGCCACTGGTTACTGTGCTGGTGGGCCACTTAATAAGCAGCTTATTGTGAGTAGCTGTTGGTTGTCAGCTCTGGTTGGGAGGTAGCGCAGCCCATGGTGGGAAAGGGCATATTGGAGTTGTGCTGCACAAGAGGTGGAAACGAAAAACAGGTGAGCTGCAGCAGTGGCTTACTTCCCCCAAGAATGGGAAGGCTGGGGTGAGAGCTCTTTTCATGTGGTGTTTGTTGAGTGCAAGATTTAACACAGGGTTTTCCTGCTGCAGGTGCCGGTTTGTGAGAGAGCGGGACAGGCTGGGTAACGAATACCCCAACCTCCACTACCCAGAACTGTACATCCTGAAAGGGGGCTACAAGGACTTCTTCTTCAGATGCCGTGTAAGTAACATTCACTTAAATTTATCTCTTTCACACTCGGAGAAGAAACTATGGGTAAATAATACTGATGTGTTTGTACTGAATAAGGCTTCTTTTGGAGTAGGACGTTTTTTGCCGGGGTGCTTTTCCTCCTCTGTTTCACTGTAGTCTCCCATACTGAGAGTAATTAGACTTTGGTAGTGAGGCATTTGAAGCCTGTTCCATGCTCCAGAGCTGTCTTGTTGCTGTAGCTGAAAGGTTTTCCCACTTGTCTCAGGACAAGACATAGTATAAAACTGGTTTCTAGCATAACAGCCAGGAGTTCAAAATGTCATTTGGAGAAGGAAATTCAGACTACTCAGTCTGCAAGGACTGGAAGAGAAGGCAGCCTTGACAGTAATTGCTGATAACAGTCCTGAAGTCTCACACTGAAATAGCAAAGTGGAAAATTTGAGCTTTGTGTTTTCAGTATCTAATTCAGAAAAGGAAGCTAAAAAATGCTCAGCAGCTCTCACACCAGCATTGTGGGGATGGTGCTTCCTGTTATCCCTTGGCTTCTGCTGTCTTGGCATTTCAGTGGCTGTACTGTCCTTCTCCAGCTAGTCCTTTCTGTGCTTCTGAGTGTAACGAAGCTGTGTCCTGACAGTTGCTTTAGCTCCTTTTGGACCCCTGCACTGTAGAGTAGCTCTTAGATTACCTTCATGTTCTATGACCTTGTGTGCTTTCAAGGAGATTCAGGGTGTTCATTCCCAGTGGCATATTGGCTTTTCCAGCCTTTGGGATGCTGCTGTTCATGGTAGGGAGTGCTCCTCCTGGGTTTTGGTGCTCTCTGTGACCTTAATGGTTCCCCCATGGCAGTGGGTGCACCTGGGTTTGGTTTTGGAGCCTGTAGGTGCCCCCTTTTGAGGCTGAAGGACCAAGGGCCTCAAGGTGGCAGCATGAAACAGCCGATGGCAGCTCCTATGTGCGCCAGGGGCTGGTTGGTTTCTGGTACAAGTGTTCTTCAAATCTTTGCCATTCCAAGGTGAATGCTAGATAGCCTTAGTTTATGTATTGATGCCTACCAGAAAAATCTGGGTGAGAGCTCTGTACACAGGGCTGAAAGTCCTTCATTTAATAGGTGTTATCCCTCCGGAAGTAGCTGTAGTCTGAGTATCACTTGGTTTTGTTCATGAGGGTCTGGTATGAAGCTCCTGTATAGAGCCGGGGGAGGGTGGTCTCTTTCTGATTGTTCTGGTGGTAGTTGTTGGAACAGTTGTTGGCAGGCTCTGTCAGGGACCATCACTCCTGTGAGACAACCACAGTGAAAACAGCTTCTCTTTCCCCAGAGTTTCTGCGAGCCCCAGAGCTATCGCCCCATGGACCATGAGGACTTTAAAGAAGACTTGAAGAGGTTCCGCACCAAAAGCCGAACCTGGGCTGGTGAGAAGAGCAAAAGGGAACTGTACAGTCGCCTGAAGAAGCTCTAAAGGCTGAACTGAACTTAGAGCAAAGACTGCCTGTCCGGGGGGGAAGCTGCAACGGGGGGGAGAAGAAGCTGTTCCTGGCTTGCAGTGATCAGGCACTGGCTCTCTCCCCATCTGTCATCTCACTGGGAACACCCTGGAACTTGGAGCTGCAGGCTTGCTCCCAGCAACCGGGATGCTGTCTGGGAGCTGATTCTGCTGACTATTCTCATTACGTTCCATTTTGGAAATGGCTTCTTGTGTTCTGCAGCATCTACAAAGTTCAACATCCTGCCCAGGGAGGGGTGGGGAGGCTGCTAAGTGCCATGCACGTGGGGTACGTGCTATAAGCAGGGAAAGTATTTTAGTGCCTGTTGGGATTTAGTTAGTTTGTTGGTTTGTTAGTTAGTTTGTTGGTTTGTTAGTTAGTTTGTTGGTTTGTTAGTTAGTTTGTTGGTTTGTTAGTTAGTTACATAGTTAGGTACATAGCTAGTTAGTTAGATACATAGTTAGTTTGTTTGTTTGTTTTAATGCTTTATTTTTATTTAAATACAGTCAAATGAAGCTAATGCTGCTGCAGTTGAATCCTATGAATTGTACTTACACTGCGTTTCTGCTAAAGGGCAGCCTGCTGGTGGGAGGTGTTAATTATTTTTCTCAGCTGCAGCTTTGGTTCCGTGGTTTTCTAGTGTAATGTGTCGTAGTGAAGAAAAAATGGGAAATGGTTCGTTACAGGTAGAGGTTCTCAGGTCATTGAACTCCTGTGTTCTGCTCTGGAAGCCTCATAAAGACAATCTAAGGGAAAATTTCTTATTATACCTAAATATGTTCACCTTTCTTAGATTGCTTTATTTCACAGCAATTTGAGCTGGCTGCTCCTTTAGCTCTAGTGCTGGTGTTTCAAAGTAGGACGAAATTCTGGGAGCTGAGGTGTCTCGGGTGATCTCAGGAGGGCCAGGTCCCAAAGCTGTTCCCAGGATTCCCAGCAGCAGCAATTTACTGTGTCTGCTCCCACCGAGGCTGCATATTATCATCATGAACTGTGTCCAGAAAACAGCTCAGCTGTGAGGAGCCAAGCTAATGATCCTGCTCTGGAACCACTCTGCTTTGACTTCAGCTGCTTCTCCAGTAGTAGAAGAACCTTCTGCTGTGAAAGGCAGGAAATAGAATTGATTCCTGACGGAACAGTGTGTTGTACCCTGTAGCTGAGCCCTACAAACTGAAGCAGAACACAGTCTTCCATAGCACAACAGTGCCTGAACAGCTTTGCTGCTGCTTTTGGTGTTGAAGGAGTGGTTTCAGGGTAAGGCCAGCTGCTTGCACAGCAACACTGTGATGATTACTGTAGCTTATCTTCCTCACATATGAACTTATTGGTAGAAGTGCTGCTCCTGAGGCCTGGCACCCAGCCTAGGAGCAGCCACGCATCCAGGAAGCTCATGGCTCTTTAGCAGAAATCCATGCTTTGTACAGCTTTGCTTGCTCCCGATGTGTTAGTCCTGCTTTTGTACCTGTGTCAAAAAATACTGAAACGGAGGTGACTTATGTGGAATTTTAACTTGAGGTTTTTTAAAACTCCTTTTTTAAACCCTGCTGTTAACCTTGAGGCCTGCATGGATGAACCATGAACTTTCTATTTAAAAAAAAAAAAAAATAAAAAAATTGGATTTTACTGCCTTCCCTCAAAACTGATGACCTGGAAGGGGGAGGAGATGCATTCTAAGGGTGGTGGCTACATCTCGCCTGGAAAATCTGACCTCCTGGAGGAAGCTGGGAGGTGCCAAGGGCCTGTGTGGTGGGGGGAGGCTGGCTGCTGATGCACCCAAGCTGCACCAAGCCTCGGTGGTAAGTAATCAGTTTAGCAAACTGATGTCTGGGTGCGACTTTGTACATGAGTAGCTGCTCCACGCGAAAGCTTAATGCACCGGTTGTTTGAGAAAAGCAGAGGGAGCCTTGATGCTCTTCTCTGAGGTCACTCAGGTGCATAAAAACATTTTGGCAATCTCTGGCTTTACACTTGTGCTTTCAGTTTGTCAACCCAAACTTACTGATATTTAGGAAATTGAAGATGAATGGGAAGCCCCCAGCAGTACTGGGGGCCAAGAGCCGCAGCTTCTGCTCTAAGGGCTCAGCCATGGCTGTTAATCCTGTGGAGATGGACACAAGACAACACTTTCTACACCCTACTAGTTCTGTATGTGCTGTTTTATTAGGAATCGGGGTGGGGGGGAGGAAAAGGCTGCAAGGTGCTTCCAAACAGGATCTGTACCATATCGCCCTGAACTGTAATACACTTCAGGGGTGTAAGGGAATAAAGTACTTAAAATCCAGATGGAAAAGAAACCATTTGTGATGGCCTTTTTTGGGTCATTTGTGTACCTGTAGCTGGGTGAGAAGCACTCACAGCCTTGTGCAAGGGCCCAGGATCCTGGCAGGGCTGGATGGAGCTAGGAAGGTCCAGTTCAGCCCCAGTCCAGGCTGAGTCTTTAATCACTCAACTGACCTGGGCATAGTAAGGCCGCAGCCATCTGCATTTCAAGGTAGCATGTTTCCTATCTATGCTGTGGAGAGTTGCAGCTCATTTTTGAATGAGGATCCTTGTTTGTGCTGGATGCTTTCCCAGTGGAGCACCTGAGAGGGCTGTTTTGTTAAGGATGTTAATGGCTTCTGCAGAAGGCATGGGGATGAAAAGCAAGTGGCCAACAATGGGGTCAGCATTAAAAGCCTCACTTAAAATAAGCAATGTGGCTTCAAATCCACTGGAGGCTAATGCGGAGAACTGGGTAGGTTTTATTTTCCTTGCCTCCATCTGTCATCCTTAAAACTGATGTTGAAAGCAGCTTAAGGTTGCATCAGCTTTCACCATAGGCTCCTGCATGCTGCAACGCTTCGTGTTTTTATATTGCTTTACCTTTTGTGGCCTAAAAGGATGCTTGTGATATAGAACAGTATCATAGAATCACGGAGTGGTTTGGGTTGGAAGGGACCTTAAAGCTCATTCAGTTCCTACCCCCAAACGAGGGCTGTGCAATGGCAGCTCCCGGCCTCTTGGAGCCTCTTCCTGCATCCTGTGCTCCTGCCAGCTAAGGCAGGATTCCTGGCAGGCAGCTGCCCTCCCTTCCCCACCTGCAGCAGCTCGGCCGCTGTGAAACCCAGCCATTGTCTGTAGTTATTTGTTAAGTGAAGCTGCCCCCACCTGAGGCTCTGCCAGGCCAGGGGCAGGAGCACACAGTGTGTTAAGTCTGCCTGGCACACAGCATCGTGAAAGGGCAAAGTAGGGTGCCAAGTAGGGCCCAAGTGCTACCGGCTTGCATTGGGGCAGAGGGGTTCAAATGATCAGCTACAGTTGTGCAAAGCATTTGGACACTGGCCTGCGTGACCTGCCTGTCTTTAAACTGGAGACACGGGTTTGATGAATGGACCACTCGGTGGGTAAGCACTCAGAATTGCAGTCAAGCCTGATGGAAATCTTGGCTTGACCTTGATGCAGGCAATGCTTTTTGAAGGCAATTCATAGAATCAGCTAGGTTGGAAAAGACCATTAAGATCAAGTCCAGCCATTACCTCAGTTCTACATGTGGCTTTTCTGGGCAGACACTGCTTTGTTAGGAAAACCACTGGCTTCTCATCTTGGCATTGGCTTTTAGTGACAAGCGTGACTAAGCTGTCTCCTGGTGAGCTGGTCCGTGGGTGGCAGTGCCACATAATTCCTGCAAACATTAGTACCAGGATCTGGCCAGACTGTCATTTGGGATTCCTTTGAACTGGAGCTGGTCAGTGGCTGCTCCCATGGGGATGTTCCTCCTGCTGTGGCACAACCCAGTGCCCTGGAAGCCTTCTGCTGCATGAGTTGACTGCTGTGTCACATCCCACCTCCCTTCCCTCTGGTCCACTGGGGCCCTACAGGGATGTCCTGCCGTTGCCTTATCCCTTATCAGAAGCTCTGTGGTCCCTGCTCTGCATTGGGCACAGTTACATCCCATTACCAGGGCTGGAGCAGGGGAGGGTCAGAGGATGGTCCCAGCTCCTGACTCTGCACTAGTTCCTCTATTTCAGTGTGGCTCTGCCCCTGGGAGAGGGGCCCATTGCCCTCCCTTTAGTGGGAGCAAGGAATGGAGGCTGCCAGCCTGAGTGGAAGGTCATCGTTAGAGGTCACCAAATCCAGGCAAAGCTGGAAACGAAGCTAATCTCCTGCTGTTGAGCCAAGCTTCAGGAGTGCTGGAGAAAACACTGGGTGCTGGTGCCAGCCCTGGGCCTGGCAGTGGCTGCAGGGTGGCTGCATAGGGAAGGTACACTGGAGCCTGGGCTGGCTCAGCACTGTGGCCCCAGGGGATGGGGCACCAGGCACAGCCACCACGATGCACCCACACTGGGGCTCTCACCAATTGCACCCCTGCTGGGACAGGGCACAGGCACGGCTCTGTGGTGTCAGTGCTGGGTGTCACTGGGTCCCTCCATGCTCCCTGTGGGCCCACGTTGGAGCTGAGGGGCCCAGGCGGCTGCTGCCTTTTAAGGCTGCTTTGGGCTGATGAATCGAATGCCAACCTGCGCAGTGGTGCTCAGCAGGCAGAGGTCCCGGGTGAGGGGCACAGAGCATCTGTTCAGTGATAAGGAATAACAGGGTTTCCCCAGCAGTGCCCTGTGCTCTTCCGTGCTGGCACCAGGGCTGCTGTTGCCCTCCGTGCAGCTCTTGCTCTTTCACTGTCAGACGGCAGCCCCAGCTCTGCCCCGTGTCTTGTTTTAGGTGCACAAAGATGAGTACAGAAAGCACCAGGGAGACCTTGGAGCAGCTTCCAGTGCCTGAAGGGGCTGATGAGAAAGCTGGAGAGGGGATTTTGACAAGGGGTGGTAGGGACAGGACAAGGGGGAATGGCTTTAAACTGGGGAGGAAGGGCAGGTGTGCAGGGGGAGGCAGCCCCAAGGCACCTCCATATCCCATCTGGGCTTCGCTCCTTGGCTTCACCTCCTGTAACAGGGCCGTGCTCACAAGCATTTCAAGATGGCACAGAGCCTTGGGCACCTTTGGGGAAGGGATGTCACTGAGTCACCCACAGCTCGGACACTTGGGCCAGTGCAGGTCTGCCTTTAGGAACTTGATGTGCCTTTGGGGAGCAAAGTGGCTGCAGACTGGATGTGCTGGCCCCTGCGTGGGGAGTTCCTGCTTTCCACCCACAGAAGACATGTCCCATTTGTTTCTGTTGGATGAACTCCCCAGCGATGTTTGATGGGGCTTAAGGCTCAAGCAAGGAGCCATAAAAAGGGAGGATAGCATCAGAAGAGGAAAGTGGAAGGAGGCCA